GTCGATAAAAGTCACTTTCTTTCTAAAAAAAAGTCGTTAGGGGGTCTGAAAAGTCATTGAATCTAACAACAAAGTCGCTAGGTTTGCAACTACGTGTCCCAGACTGCATCCCTGCTGAGAGTCCCTCCCTCCCTTCTCATATTGCAGGAAGAACGTAAGTTCCCGCCCCTTGTCAATCAGTCACCATATAATTTTGGATTGGTTGTTGTGGTGAAGTTTTCCACCAATAGGAGAGATGTTGTGGTGTGTATTTTTTTTCCTTTGGCAAGCCTTTTCCGCCTGTAAGACCTGTCGCTAATGTCTGCATGCTATGTTTTCCTGTCTCATACAGCGCGATCGAGCGCCGAATGTGATCAAAATAAGCAGAAAACAAGTATCGCGGACATAATTTATCATAACTCTGGTTTTATTTGGCCTATCAACACAATTTAAAAACTGGTATATAGGTTGAGGTCCTCACTTTTGAGATAAATTGAAACGGAGAGTCAACGAGGCTCCGTCTTGCAGCTACATCCGGTTAAATATGTCATGTGACTTGAACGCACACACACACACACACACAGACACACACACACACGCACACACACACACTCAGAGTCTGGTTTTTAGCACCTGCAAAAACATGCTATTTACATATTTGACAAGAATGCAGAGGCTCCTTTTGCCCCTGAAAAAAATCAAATTTCAAACACAACTTGACTGGTCATTTCTCCAAAAGACAACCATGAAGCTCCATCCATGTGAAATTAAAAAACAAAGTATTAATAGAAAGGTAATGACTGTCCTGTGTAGGTGACAGTGATATCGAATAGGCTAGGCACTCACGAGGCTGGCTGTGGCAAGTGTAAGTGAAAGCAACACGCACTGGCAGGAAGAACAGCAAACGCCGATGAAGGAAAAGGGTCTTTGCAGTGATGGGCGTTACCAAAGAGGGCGATGGCCAGAGGACACAAATGGGACGGGGAGGCAGCGCGTTGGGGGGGGGGCGTGACACAGCTCGGGCCCGCCAGTGCCCCAACGGGGTCCTAGTTTGTTATTATTATTTTTCCTCCCCTTTGAACTGGAAAATGGCCCACTTCCCACTGGCGAAAACTCATGAAATTTGGCAGGACGACCGGGCCTGGTGAAAAATTTGATATTCCGAAGTCGCCCAAACAAGAAAATGCAAAATGGCTCCATAGCGCCCCCTAAGGTGAAAATTCACACTATTCACTGTCACGCCTGTACGCTTTGTCAAAATGACACAAAAATTGACACACACATGTATCTCAATAAGATCTACAAAAAAGTCAGTGCGGGCGTATCTGTCAAATGTACGGTTAAAGGGTTATTTCGCATTTTTTGCCGATCCGCACACATTGGAATTTCGCTAACTCCTCCGAAGGCTTTCGTTCCACCGGCACCACATTTGCTCAGGCCAATCTACACCCCATGGCCATTAAAAGTTATTCAAATCATGACGCTGCACCCCACGGTTTAGGTTCTAGGGGGCGCCAAAGATAACCCTAAGATCCACATTTTTAAAAGTCTTATAACTTTTTATTTTTGTCCTCACTGGCCTCCAAGTTTTCTAGGATGATGCAATGTCCAGCCATCAACACATTTGTGAAGGAATTTTTACTCCCCAAAAGAGCGCCCCCCCATGGCAGGAGAAAAAAGTCCATTTTTTCTTGTCCCCTAAGGTGAAAATACACATTGTTGACTGTCACGCCTGTACGCTTTGGCAAAATGACACAAAAATTGACAATCATGTGTATCTCAATTAGATCTACGAAAAAGTCAAAGAGCGCGTATCTGTATAATGTACGGTAAAAGGGCTATTTTGCATTTTTTGCCGATTCACACACATTGGAATTTCGCTAACTCCTCCTAAGGCTTTCGTCCCACTGACACCAAATTTGCTCAGGCCAATCTACACTCCATGGCCATTCAAAGTTGTAAAAATCATGACGCTGCACCCCACGGTTTACGTTTTAGGGGGCGCCAAAGATGACCCAAATATACATTACAGTAGACAAAGTAGTTTTGCCCACTGAGTGGCGCCAAAGGGACTTGTCTGTGGAGTCTGTGAGTCACTATTGGCCGTTTTTGACTACTTTAGATTTTACCTTTATATTTCCTCTTACAAAATTTTTACCTTGCCTTGCCTGGTATCATTTTTTTCAGCACAACCTCACCTGTGTCAATTTACAGTTATTTTATCATTTTGACATACTATATTTACACATTGGACCCAAATTCACACACAAAACATAAAATCCGAGTGGAAAAAAGTAACGTTTTTACTGTGAAAACCACAAATATGTGTGATGAACTGTTTTTAAAACTTAAACTTCAATTAAAAATTGTAAACTTCAAAACATATGCAAATTTTTAACAAAGAACATAGTAATTTACCTCTATTGACATCAAAATGCAGGCAATGGCCCAGGTGTTCTTTGTAAAATTATTTACAAAACACTGTATAGTCTCACAAATGTCACTTTTTATTTATGCCACTACAAAAAAACATGATGTAAATGATGCATGATGTAAAACATGATGTAAAAAACTTGTGTAGATCCTCCTCTATGTTAGTCCATGTGTAATTTTTCCATAATTCTTTGTTTTTTGCAGCATTTTTGTTAGTGTAACTGCAGATTGTGCTGACAGTGTCTATGGCAAAAAAAAAAAAAAAAAACTGAAAATGCCTCAACATGAACCCCTGGTGGTCTCTGAGGGTGAAACCTGCTAACTGCTGCAGCTCTGTCAGCTTCAGTCTCCCATGCAGAGCTCGGAGCGCATGTGTGGCTCTGCACCCTTAGCAGCGTTGCTAACTCCTCAGTAAGGAAAGCCTGCTTCATGTCAGAGTCTCTAAACTCCAGAAGAAGTCGATAAAAGTCACTTTCTTTCTAAAAAAAAGTCGTTAGGGGGTCTGAAAAGTCATTGAATCTAACAACAAAGTCGCTAGGTTTGCAACTACGTGTCCCAGACTGCATCCCTGCTGAGAGTCCCTCCCTCCCTTCTCATATTGCAGGAAGAACGTAAGTTCCCGCCCCTTGTCAATCAGTCACCATATAATTTTGGATTGGTTGTTGTGGTGAAGTTTTCCACCAATAGGAGAGATGTTGTGGTGTGTGTTTTTTTTTTTTTCCTTTGGCAAGCCTTTTCCGCCTGTAAGACCTGTCGCTAATGTCTGCATGCTATGTTTTCCTGTCTCATACAGCGCGATCGAGCGCCGAACGTGATCAAAATAAGCAGAAAACAAGTATCGTGGACATAATTTATCATAACTCTGGTTTTATTTGGCCTATCAACACAATTTAAAAACTGGTATATAGGTTGAGGTCCTCACTTTTGAGATAAATTGAAACGGAGAGTCAACGAGGCTCCGTCTTGCAGCTACATCCGGTTAAATATGTCATGTGACTTGAACGCACACACACACACACACACACACACACACACACACACACACACACACACACACACACACAGACACACACACACACGCACACACACACACTCAGAGTCTGGTTTTTAGCACCTGCAAAAACATGCTATTTACATATTTGACAAGAATGCAGAGGCTCCTTTTGCCCCTGAAAAAAATCATATTTCAAACACAACTTGACTGGTCATTTCTCCAAAAGACAACCATGAAGCTCCATCCAAACCTGAAGCAGGCAGTTGGTGCATGTGTACAGTAACCTGAGGGGAGTGAGGTGACTGCTTCTGAGGAGAACATGAGCAGTGAAGATTCACCTTAGAGCTAGAACAGAGATGTGCACATGATTATACAGGGGCAGGGGCTCAAGTTTTTTCCAGTTGTTTATACAATATGGAAATTAATGTGAAATTAAAAAACAAAGTATTAATAGGAAGGTAATGACTGTCCTGTGTAGGTGACAGTGATATCCAATAGGCTAGGCACTCACGAGGCTGGCTGTGGCAAGTGTAAGTGAAAGCAACACGCACTGGCAGGAAGAACAGCAAACGCCGATGAAGGAAAAGGGTCTTTGCAGTGATGGGCGTTACCAGAGAGGGCGATGGCCAGAGGACACAAATGGGACGGGGAGGCAGCGCGTTGGGGGGGGGGACGCGACACAGCTCGGGCCCGCCAGTGCCCCAACGGGGTCCTAGTTATTATTATTATTAGGGCCCGAACCAGCTGCAGAGCAGCCGGGCGTAGGCCCTATTATTCCCCAAGTGGTTTTTCTTTGTTTCTTTAGGGCCCGAGCGTAGCTGCTAAGCAGCTGCGAGAGCCCTCTTGTTCCTGATGGATTCTTCTTTCGTTATTTTTCCTCCGCTTTAAACTGGAAAATGGCCCACTTCCCACTGGCGAAAACTCAGGAAATTTGGCAGGACGACCGGGCCTGGTGAAAAATTTGATATTCTGAAGTCGCCCAAACAAAAAAATGAAAAATGGCTCCATAGCGCCCCCTATGGTGAAAACTCACCTGACGCCTGTACGCTTTGTCAAAATGACACAAAATTTGACACACATGTGTATCTCAATAAGATCTACAAAAAAGTCAGTGCAGGCGTATCTGTCAAATGTACGGTTAAAGGGCTATTTCGCATTTTTTGCCGATCCGCACACATTGGAATTTCGCTAACTCCTCCGAAGGCTTTCGTTCCACCGGCACCAAATTTGCTCAGGCCAATCTACACCCCATGGCCATTCAAAGTTGTACAAATCATGACGCTGCACCCCACGGTTTAGGTTCTAGGGGGCGCCAAAGATAACCCAAAAATCCACATTCTTAAAAGTCTTATAACTTTTTATTTTTGTCCTCACTGGCCTCCAAGTTTTCTAGGATGATGCTATGTCCAGCCATCAACACATGTGTTAAGGAATTTTTACTCCCCAAAAGAGCGCCCCCCCATGGCAGGAGAAAAAAGTCAATTTTTTCTTGTCCCCTAAGGTGAAAATACACATTGTTGAGTGTCACGCCTGAACTCTTTGTCATATTGACACAAAAATTGACAATCATGTGTATCTCAATTAGATCTACGAAAAAGTCAAAGAGCGCGTATCTGTATAATGTACGGTAAAAGGGCTATTTTGCATTTTTTGCCGATCCGCACACATTGGAATTTCGCTAACTCCTCCGAAGGCTTTCGTTCCACCGGCACCAAATTTGCTCAGGCCAATCTACACCCCATGGCCATTAAAGTTGTAAAAATCATGACGCTGCACCCCACGGTTTAGGTTCTAGGGGGCGCCAAAGATTACCCTAAAATCCAAATATTTAAAAGTCTTATAACTTTTTATTTTTGTCCTCACTGGCCTCCAAGTTTTCTAGGATGATGCAATGTCCAGCCATCAACACATTTGTGAAGGAATTTTTACTCCCCAAAAGAGCGCCCCCCCATGGCAGGAGAAAAAAGTCAATTTTTTCTTGTCCCCTAAGGTGAAAATACACATTGTTGAGTGTCACGCCTATACGCTTTGTCATATTGACCCAAAATTTGACAATCACGTGTATCTCAATAAGATCTACGAAAAAGTAAATGGGCACGTATCTGTAAAATGTACGGTTAAAGAGTTATTTCGCATTTTTTCCCGATCCGCACACATTGGAATGTGGCTAACTCCTCCGAAGGCTTTAGTTCCACCGCCACCAAATTTGCTCAGGCCAATCTACACCCCATGGCCATTAAAAGTTGTACAAATCATGACGCTGCACTCCACGGTTTAGGTTCTAGGGGGCGCCAAAGATAACCCAAAAATCCACATTCTTAATAGTCTTATAACTTTTTATTTTTGTCCTCACTGGCCTCCAAGTTTTCTAGGATGATGCAATGTCCAGCCATCAACACATTTGTAAAGGAATTTTTACTCCCGAAAAGAGCGCCCCCCCATGGCAGGAGAAAAAAGTCCATTTTTTCTTGTCCCCTAAGGTGAAAAAACACATTGTTGAGATTCACGCCTATACGCTTTGTCAAAATAACACAAAATTTGACACACACGTGTATCTCAATAAGATCTACGAAAAAGTCAATGGGCACGTATCTGTAAAATGTACGGTTAAAGGGCTATTTCGCATTTTTTGCCGATTCGCACACATTGGAATGTGGCTAACTCCTCCTAAGGCTTTCTTCCCACCGACACGAAATTTGCTCAAGCCGATCTACATACCATGGCCATTCAAAGTTGTAAAAATCATGCCGCTGCACCCCATGGTTTACGTTCTAGGGGGCGCCAAAGATGACCCAAATATCCACATTCTTAAAAGAATCCACCCCCCCCCCCAAGGCAGGAGAAAAAGTCCAGTTAACCCTGCCCATCGCTCAATGGCTCAATCGCATCGCTCTCCTGGCAACACCGTAAGGAGGAGCAACTTGCCATTTGGATATATCCTAGCTGTGTTTGTGCCCTCACTCATGGTCCAGACTTTTTTCAAATAGGACATGTAGTTTGTCTGCAGCGACCGTTTTGGTAGAAACTGCGCCTCCCATTCATTATAATGGGAAATGACCACAGACAAGTGCGCACACCATCTTTGGACCTTGAGTGTGATGCGATCGGGAGGGGGAGGCGGTCGCGCTGGGGGCGGCGCGACGCGGCTCGGGCCCGACAGTGCCCCACCGGGGCCCTAGTTCTTTCTTTCTTAGGGCCCGAGCCAGCTGCAGAGCAGCCGGGCGTAGGCCCTGTTATTCCTGTAGGGGTTTTTTAGGGCCCGAGCGTAGCTGCTAAGCAGCTGCGAGAGCCCTCTTGTTCCTGTAGTTTCCTTCTTTTGTTATTATTATTTTTCCTCCCCTTTGAACTGGAAAATGGCCCACTTCCCACTGGCGAAAACTCATGAAATTTGGCAGGACGACCGGGCCTGGTGAAAAATTTGATATTCCGAAGTCGCCCAAACAAGAAAATGCAAAATGGCTCCATAGCGCCCCCTAAGGTGAAAATTCACACTATTCACTGTCACGCCTGTACGCTTTGTCAAAATGACACAAAAATTGACACACACATGTATCTCAATAAGATCTACAAAAAAGTCAGTGCGGGCGTATCTGTCAAATGTACGGTTAAAGGGTTATTTCGCATTTTTTGCCGATCCGCACACATTGGAATTTCGCTAACTCCTCCGAAGGCTTTCGTTCCACCGGCACCACATTTGCTCAGGCCAATCTACACCCCATGGCCATTAAAAGTTATTCAAATCATGACGCTGCACCCCACGGTTTAGGTTCTAGGGGGCGCCAAAGATAACCCTAAGATCCACATATTTAAAAGTCTTATAACTTTTTATTTTTGCCCTCACTGGCCTCCAAGTTTTCTAGGATGATGCAATGTCCAGCCATCAACACATTTGTGAAGGAATTTTTACTCCCCAAAAGAGCGCCCCCCCATGGCAGGAGAAAAAAGTCCATTTTTTCTTGTCCCCTAAGGTGAAAATACACATTGTTGAGTGTAACACCTGTACGCTTTGGCAAAATGACACACAAATTGACACACACATGTATCTCAATAAGATCTACGAAAAAGTCAATGCGCGCGTATCTGTCAAATGTACGGTTAAAGGGTTATTCCGCATTTTTTGCCGATCCGCACACATTGGAATTTCGCTAACTCCTCCGAAGGCTTTCGTTCCACCGGCACCACATTTGCTCAGGCCAATCTACACCCCATGGCCATTAAAAGTTATTCAAATCATGACGCTGCACCCCACGGTTTAGGTTCTAGGGGGCGCCAAAGATAACCCTAAAATCCACATATTTAAAAGTCTTATAACTTTTTATTTTTGTCCCCACTGGCCTCCAAGTTTTCTAGGATGATGCAATGTCCAGCCATCAACACATTTGTGAAGGAAATTTTACTCGGCAAAAGAGCGCCCCCCCATGGCAGGAGAAAAAAGTCAATTTTTTCTTGTCCACTAAGGTGAAAATACACATTGTTGAGTGCTACGCCTGTATGTTTTGTCGTATTGACACAAAATTTTACATACACGTGTATTTCAATAAGATCTTCGAAAAAGTCAATGGCCACGTATCTGTAAAATGTACAGTTAAAGGGTTATTTCGCATTTTTTGCAGATTCGCACACATTGGAATTTCGCTAATTCCTCCGAAGGCTTTCGTTCCACCGGCACCACATTTGCTCAGGCCAATCTACACCCCATGGCCATTAAAAGTTATTCAAATCATGACGCTGCACCCCACGGTTTAGGTTCTAGGGGGCGCCAAATATAACCCTAAAATCCACATATTTAAAAGTCTTATAACTTTTTATTTTTGTCCTCACTGGCCTCCATGTTTTCTAGGATGATGCAATGTCCAGCCATCAACACATTTGTGAAGGAGTTTTTTCTCTTTAAAAGAGCGCCCCCCATGGCAGGAGAATAAAGTCAAGTTTTTCCTGTTCATCATTCAATGGCTCAAACGCACTGCTCTCTCGGCAAAAGCGAAAGGAGGAGCAACTTGCCATTTGGATATATCTTAGCTGTGTTTGTGCCCTCACTCATGGTCCAGACTTTTTTCAAATAGGACATGGAGTTTTTCTGCAGCGAGCGTTTTGGTAGAAACTGCGCCTCCCGTTCATTATAATGGTAAATGACCACAAACAAGTGCGCACACCATCTTTGGACCTTGAGTGTGACGCGATCGGGTGGGGGAGGCGGTCGCGCTGGGGGCGGCGTGACACGGCTCGGGCCCGCCAGTGCCCCAACGGGGCCCTAGTCTTTGTTTCTTTCTTTCTTCTTTTTCCTCCCCTTTGAACTGGAAAATGGCCCACTTCCCACTGGCGAAAACTCATGAAATTTGGCAGGACGACCGGGCCTGGTGAAAAATTCGATATTCTGAAGTCGCCCAAACAATAAAATGCAAAATGGCTCCATAGCGCCCCCTAAGGTGGAAATTCACACTATTGACTGTCACGCCTGTACGCTTTGTCATATTGACACAAAAATTGACACACATATGTATCTCAATAAGATCTACAAAAAAGTCAGTGCGGCCGTATCTGTCAAAATTACGGTTAAAGGGTTATTTCGCATTTTTTGCCGATCCGCACACATTGGAATTTCGCTAACTCCTCCGAAGGCTTTCGTTCCACCGGCACCACATTTGCTCAGGCCAATCTACACCCCGTGGCCATTAAAAGTTATCAAAATCATGACGCTGCACCCCAAGGTTTAGGTTCTAGGGGGCGCCAAAGATAACACTAAAATCCACATATTTAAAAGTCTTATAACTTTTTATTTTTGTCCTCACTGGCCTCCAAGTTTTCTAGGATGATGCAATGTCCAGCCATCAACACATTTGTGAAGGAATTTTTACTCCCCAAAAGAGCGCCCCCCCATGGCAGGAGAAAAAAGTCCATTTTTTCTTGTCCCCTAAGGTGAAAATACACATTGTTGAGTGTCAAGCCTATACGCTTTGTCAAAATGACACAAAAATTGACACACACATGTAACTCAATAAGATCTACAAAAAAGTCAATGCGCGCGTATCTGTCAAATGTACAGTTAAAGGGTTATTCCGCATTTTTTGCCGATACGCACACATTGGAATTTCGCTAACTCCTCCGAAGGCTTTCGTTCCACCGGCACCACATTTGCTCAGGCAAATCTACACCCCATGGCCATTAAAAGTTATTCAAATCATGACGCTGCACCCCACGGTTTAGGTTCTAGGGGGCGCCAAAGATAACCCTAAAATCCACATATTTAAAAGTCTTATAACTTTTTATTTTTGTCCTCACTGGCCTCCAAGTTTTCTAGGATGATGCAATGTCCAGCCATCAACACATTTGTGAAGGAATTTTTACTCCCCAAAAGAGCGCCCCCCCATGGTAGGAGAAAAAAGTCAATTTTTTCTTGTCCCCTTACATAAAAATACACATTGTTGAGTGTCACGCCTGAACGCTTTGTCATATTGACACAAAAATTGACAATCATGTGTATCTCAATTAGATCTACGAAAAAGTCAAAGAGCGCGTATCTGTATAATGTACGGTTAAAGGGCTATTTTGCATTTTTTGCCGATTCGCACACATTGGAATGTGGCTATCTCCTCCTAAGGCTTTCGTCCCACCGATACCAAATTTGCTCAGGGCAATCTACACCCCATGCCCATTCAAAGTTGTAAAAATCATGACGCTGCACCCCACGGTTTACGTTCTAGGGGGCGCCAAAGATGACCCAAAAATCCACATTCTTAAAAGTCATTTTGGCCACTGCAGGAGTACAGAGTACTGCAGTTCTAGGGGGCGCCAAAGATGACCCAAAAATCCACATTCTTAAAAGTCTTTTTGGCCACTGCAGGAGTACAGAGTACTGCAGGATACACACACATATACACACACGCCAACATACACACACACACACACACACACACACACACACACACAGACACACACCCACACTCAGAGTCTGGTTTTTAGCACCTGCAAAAACATGCTGTTTACATATTTGACAAGAATGCAGAGGCTTCCTTTTGCCCCTGAAAAAAATCAAATTTCAAACACAACTTGACTGTTCATTTCTCCAAAAGACAACCATGAAGCTCCATTTCAAACCTGAAGCAGATAGTTGGTGCATGTGTACAGTAACCTGAGGGGAGTGAGGTGACTATTTCTGAGGAGAACATGAGCAGTGAAGATTCACCTTGGAGCTAGAACAGGGACGTGCACATGATTATACAGGGGCAGGGGCTCAAGTTTTTTCCAGTCATTTATACAATATGGAAATTAATGTGAAATTAAACCACAAATATGTGTGATGAACTGTTTTTAAAACTTAAACTTCAAATAAAAATTGTAAACTTCAAAACATATGCAAATTTTTAACAAAGAACATAGTAATTTACCTCTATTTACATCAAAATGCAGGCAATGGCCCAGGCGTTCTTTGTAAAATTATTTACAAAACACTGTATAGTCTCACAAATGTCACTTTTTATTTATGCCACTACAAAAAAACATGATGTAAATGATGCATGATGTAAAACATGATGTAAAAAACTTGTGTAGATCCTCCTCTATGTCAGTCCATGTGTAATTTTTCCATAATTCTTTGTTTTTTGCAGCATTTTTGTTAGTGTAACTGCAGATTGTGCTGACAGTGTCTATGGCACAAAAAAAAAAAAAATTTTTAATGCCTCAACATGAACCCGTGGTGGTCTCTGAGGGTGAAACCTGCTAACTGCTGCAGCTCTGTCAGCTTCAGTCTCCCATGCAGAGCTCTGAGCGCATGTGTGGCTCTGCACCCTTAGCAGCGTTGCTAACTCCTCAGTATGGAAAGCCTGCTTCATGTCAGAGTCTCTAAACTCCAGAAGAAGTCGATAAAAGTCCCTTTCTTTCTAAAAA